GAACTGCACTCACACTAACTTCTCTGGCTTTAAAATAACCTCTTCTAAAGTAAGCAAGTAAATTTAACCCATTTTAATTAACCTGACATTTACTGTAATTATTTTGCCATCCCTTTACTTACAGCCATACTGGTTTCATGCTGGCAAACGCGAGGATGTAGAGGCTATCTGGGCGAGTCTGCCCAGCACAACCTCTCAAGCTCTTAAAGCCGAAGAATTACACTTTAGCGTGGACGACATGACACCAGGTCGGAATACTGTATACTTTATTGACCCAGTTACCAGACCGGTTCATGATGCCTGGGTAAAACAGCTCAGCGACATCGACCGAATGCAACGACAATTTCTGCAAGCGCTTCAAGATCCAACTCGATTCGTGACAAGTACTGCAGGCTCAGAAGATGACTCTCCATTGGAAACAGCCAGACATCTTGATGAGTGTTATGGTATGTAGATTTTAGTAGATTCATTAATTTATATCACTGAAATTATCACCTAAACCTCCTAAGGAATTGCATTCTGCTTGCCTAAGAGTTTATATTTTTCGCTTTTTCTTTGGCAAAAATATTTTTGGAGCAATTATTTTTCTTTCTATTCCAAATAATTGCAATAATTTTCCTAAAGCTTAAATAATATAAATATAGTTTCTTGTATCAGGCCTCATTTCCAGTTTAAGCTTATTAATAAGTAATTATTATTAGTTACCATTAAGTATTCAAGCAATTTATTTATTATTGATTTATTAACTAGTTTGTATTATTATTTAGCATTCCTTAATTATCATTTAAAGTCCTGCCTCTATACGATATCTTATTAAATATTTATATTAAGCTGCTTATTCCTACTCTCTATGAAATCCTTTAAATTGCTTCAGAATGACGCTTATATTAGGACAGGAGTGTTATGTTAAACTTGAGAAACTTGCCTGAAGTTTCTTACCCAACATAAATCGTGTCATCTAAGCAAAGCAAGCTCTTTTATATAAATTTATTTTATGTAAGCTTTCGCTTCATTTTTCAGATCCATTTACCGGCTAGCTTATCTATATCTGGAGATTCATAGGCAAAATAAATGGGGCGCTGTCTGTATATTTATGTGGGTTACTCTATGTTTGGGACGAATACCTTCATTAACTATGACCTTAACAGTTTGTGCTGAACTGCTGATTACGGGACTGATTAATTTGCCTAGCACATTTTCCAGAACAAAGTTAATGTTATTTCGATTTTTCCACTTATGGATTCCATATAGTTTAAGGGAACTAAATTATCCTATGAGGAAATCTCTTTCATTCCAAAAGTTCCATGTGGGCACATCCTTATATGCTTGGGATAGCCTGTATAAATCTCCAGACACACGTTTATGCTCTGCACTTTAGTGTTGAAAATCCTCATTTGCATCCGGCATCACGTATATAATTGGGTTACTCGTTTAGTGCAAGAAAATAAAGTTTGTGGAGTTTACTTCAAAAACCACAAAGAGCGGCTCTTTAGGCGACCAAAGAATGTTTCATAAAGGAATACTTTTGCTAAAATGTGAGAATAATTGCATGGCTTAAAATAAGTTAGTCGGCTTCATAGATCTTAGAAAGATAATGGCAAAGATTTCAACTCCGCTAAATATAAAAGTTCGTTTTGATAGAATGTATTCTAGTATTTCGCCTTTACATCTGCCATTGTTAAACTAATGAACTAATCTTGGGAGCTTGTGCCTGAATAACTTACTGCTAGTTGGTTTACATATGGTATTCTATACGAGTGATGATTCTTCTAACGACCTGCTTAGCATTGATAAAGTAATTACGTTTACCTTTATCAAATATGTATCTAATGACGAGGAGCACATGATATTTTCAATATCCTTTCTGTATATTGGTAGGTATCGATCACATAATCTTGTTGTAAACACTTTCTTAGTTCGTTTCTTATTTCTTCAAGGGCTTTATTACTATCCTAAATCTCGCATTGATCAGCTTAATATCTATTGTTTTCATGTTAGCATTTCACTATTGGTACATAAGTAATTGCTATTATTATTTTACCCATCAATACCAATGTAAGAGCTCTCTGAAACATTTTTTCTATACACATATCGAGCCATTTTCTCATCTATATAGAGTATGACGGAATTTGACAATTCTGCCTCTCCTTCTAGACTTTCCTTCATTGCATTAAGTTATCGTTTTGCTTCAATTATACCTGAGGATTTTATCATTGAAAGTTTATGTTTAATGTTTTTTCTAATGCTACAATAAAGGACGGTTTGATAATGTATAATTGCTTATTTTACCAGACTCAACTCTAGAGGATTGAAGCAGATCGTTAGTAATTTTTAACTTAAGATTTAGATTGTAATTATTAAGAATCAGCGTAGAACAAAACCTGATTTACTCATTCGATTGGGATAAAATAAGTAAATGCAAATAGGCTTATATTATGGCTAGATAATAATATATTTAATTTTCACAGGCGAGTGCAAAGAGGCCGTTGTGCTGGCATTAGTTATTGACTTGTCAGTTTGATAGCTTACTTAAGTTTCGAATTTTTATTGTCAACTTGCATTCACAGTGCCTCTACGATCCTAGTTTCGTTCCAACTATATGTGAAGTGGGATTAGTTAGAAACCTATCCGATCTTGGGGAAGTATATTAATCATAGATAATATGAATGGTACTCTCACCATCCTTAATAGAGACTTGTTGAACAGTATCAAATAAGGAGGATTTCTACGAAAATAGCATCCAATCTCGCTCATGAATAAATATTATGAGTATACGAGTAGCAGATCCTTCCTAAATTTGCTGGAAATGTATATATATCATTATGCACCATTGGATAGAATAGTTGAGGCTGATCTTCAATAATATTTTGCTTGAGTATATTTCTGATTCTTGAAGACAACCTAAAATCACATGTGCATATATTCTCAGGGTCGCATACGGCAAAAGATCATAATTTTGTACTGAGATTTGCAGGTCCGCATTGGGCTCACCGAAGGCAGTTTTCTTATCATGTGAAAAAATATCCGAACACAACTATCCATAAAATATT